AAAGTCTGTCTAATCAGAGATACCTGGACAACCTTAAATACTTCAGAGATCTATAAAAATAGCATTTAAAATAATGTTTAAAAAGCTTATATCAGACAGAGACTCTGAAATCCTAACCGTGACCCAAGGTCTCCAAAGAAGACTATGAGACACCACAATGTCTCCACCTGGGTAACGACAATGCTGACCCCTGGGCAAATGCCCCATGCTACGACCTGCTGCCAGGACCCAGCCCAAACTGTGGACAAACAGTAGGACCTTGGAGAATTGATTGCACCACTTTTGCCTAGACAAAATAAGGTCAGTCTTTTCCATGTCCCTCTTCCACAGAAACCAATCACCTTATAGGTCTGGTAAAGCCTTCTGTTCTGATCCTTCTGCCTCCAATGCTTTGGAGACCTGGGTATGACTGTATATGGGCTTATCGCTGTCATTTTTCTGTTTTGTCTGTACTTAAATATAATTTATTTATCCTTCTAAGATCTCTGATTGTATTAATGGATAGGCCAGCTATAATATCAATTTAAGAGCAAGAAGGATATCCAGATCCTTCCACAAAGTTATATCCAGCTTCTTAGTTCGTTATATAGAAAGGTCTAAGGATATAAAAGTTCGTAAACATTAAGGGTTTAAAAAAATAATTTAAGATAGTACTAATAAACAATAAAACTCTGACTACATACTGTTTGTTTTACAAGTTCAGGATTTTCTGTTTTTCCTGGAACTCAAAGGTATAAGTCTATTTTTTCCTGTTTTATAAATATCTGTTATTTGCTATTTCTATAATACGGATTTTAATATGGGCCTAAAAGTTTCAAATGCATTAACTTCTGTTCCTAGTTTAAATTTGTCTCAACACGTTTCCCCTTGGTTGGCAGACACAAACAAACATTAACTGCTGACTACAACCTGCTCCAAATGACTGTGGACCGTGGACTTGCTAAAAAAAAAAAAAAAAGTGATGTGGACCAGTCAATCTAGCCGATATAAATGCTCCCTGGCTCTTCAACAAAGTCCACAAACCAAATGTTTCTAAAATTTTCTCTTTTTGACTAGCATTTCACCTTTGTTAACCCTTGACAACGACGCCCCAAAGTCAGCTGGAAGAACTTAAAAGAATACATCATCCAATAATCCCTGGCTAAAATGCTAAGTCAAAAGAAACATAAAAAGACTCTAATTTTAAGAGACAATTTGGCCAAAGTTAGCAAAACCAGCTTATGATTAAGCTGATTTTTAGGACCAAGAGGAGTGGGGAATGTGGGACCCTCACCCCTTATTCTCAAAGGGGCAAGAAGAAATTTCCTAGCAGAATGTTTTCCCAGGAAGATAGTGGCCTTCCCCTCTCCCACCCGGGAGATTCCAAGCGCAAAGTCAATTTGCTCAGCCCAGCCAGCCACCTGATACAGGCTGATAAAGATGGCCTAACTCAAGAACAGTGGCCTTGCTCTAAAAAACATGGAAAAAGCTGACTTACCAGAATGGGAAGGAGCAAAATGCCTTGTACCCATGCCAAAGCATCTTCAAAGATTGTCTTTGTAGTCATGCCTTTAAAAGCTCACCCCACAGAGGAGACACAACTCCTCTCTACCTTGTTGTAACGGGGATGGTGATGAGTTCCAAACATGTTTGTATTATGTTGATTAAACCTTGCTTAATACAGTCTGGGCTTCTCTGGTGGTCTCTCTCTGGGGGTCGTAATCTGGGCACAACAATATCTCCTAACTAGAGTATTGGCATGGTTGATACTGAAATCCTTTTGCATTGGGAAAGCTGTTATTTTTCTTTAAGGATTATGAAAACAACATCCATTTCCTGCAATTTTCATATTGTTTAGCTCTAAGAAAAGAAATATTACGACACTGCCTGCCAGATGGATGGGCTTGGAAATGGGATGTTAAACTGGGGTGGAACAATCTCAAAAAATGAATGATGGATATTCTCCCTTAAATGTTGGAACTCGTCAATCATATGCATATATAATGAAATAAATAAAATGCTTAGTAGCAAATAGGGAAGTCTGAATATAAGGGAAGGGAGTAGGGAAAACTGAGTTAAGTGATCTACGTGAGTCCTGAATGAGGCCTTAGAGTGAATTGTTTTTCTAGTTCTGAGTCTGTTTGATTTGGATGATAGATGTATAAAATTATTCAATAGTGAACTGTAAAATTCAATGGGATGGCTAGACGAGCTGAGATACACTGAGCCTGTTAAAATGGAGGATTAAGTGTGGTTTATTTGCAAGTATTTTTTACATAAATGTTATAAAATGAAGAAAATTTCAAAGCATATGACAAAAATGGAAAGGCCAAAATAGCCAACATGTCAATCTAAATTTGGTGTTTAAAATGAATATTCTTTCTATATGAATTCAGAGGCATGGATATCTAGTTCATTAGGTCTAGTGAGACCTCATATAAAAACATATTCAAGCAAAGAATATATCAATAATACCCCAGCAATCGACCCCTGCCCAGGAGGCCCCAACACAAAACAAACACCATGGGCTTTTTGTTTGCTTTCTAGGTTTATGTGTTTTAGTCCTTTTGTTCTTTCTCTTTGTTGGGGGGGGGGATTCCTAGAGAAAATAGTTACACAGTTTGGTGGGTAATGAAGGTAGATGGTGGGAGGAATTTGGGGAAGGGAAAATATGAATGGAACATTTTAAAAAGCAAGCTCAGAACAAATAGAAAATTTTCCCCGTAAAATGCTGGATTCTACTCTGTGTAGCAGGTGCCTGCAACTTGCTTTCTCTCAGAGGACAACCTTGAGATAGATCTTCATGTCCTCACCTCACAAGGGATGGGAGTGCAATCATGCCCAAACAACCTTAGCAACAGAAATGGTTCTGTATGAATTGCTCAGGATCCTAATAGTGGAAATGTTACAACAGAGAGGAGCCAGATGCTTTTAAGACACTACTTGTACCTAGTTCCTTCCACCCCTGCAGGCCTGAAGTGGGAGATATTGGGTCTGTAGGAGTTAAAAATAGAAATTGTGTAAGGATTTCAATGGTTGTTTCTCTGCTCTTGTGTAAGGTGTAGCTGACCCCATTCACCTAGAGGAGGTGGACAGTGTTTGAAGGGACAGGAATATTACAGTATATCATGGGTGTGTTAGGGAAACACTAGTGTCTGTGGTACTCTCTGGGAGCTCTCTCATCCAAGAGTCACCAATAGACTGTGGAGAGCTAGAGAAGATTGCAACCACCTTAGATATAGGGTTCTCAACCTCTAGGTCACAACCCCTTTAGTATTATAATTTTAACAGTAGCAATCTTGCAGTTACAAAGCAGCAACAAATAGTTTTATGGTTGGGGCATGGTTTCAACTCACATGAGGAGCTCTTTTTCCGGATCACAGCATTAGGATGGTTTTAAACCACCAGGAAGGGTTCCCAAGGGAAAGGTTCTGGGTACCCGATTTTCAGATGGACAGGAAGCAGTCAAGGCCTGTCTTAGTTAGGGTTCCTATTGCTCTAACGAAACACCATGACTAAAACACAAGTTGGAGTTCATTCAGTTTGTACTTCCAATTAGCTTTTCAGCTCCAAACAGGAGAGGTCAGGACAGGATCTCAAGAAGGGCAGGAACCTGGGGGCAGGAGCTGATGCAGAAACTATTGAAGAATGAGTGCTGTTTACTTGTTTGCATAGCCAGCTTGCTCAGCCAGCTTTCTTCTAGGAACCAGGAATAACATTTTAGGCATTGCACCACCCATTGATCACTAATTGAGAAACTGCTTTACAGCTGGGTCTCATGGTGGCAAATCCTCAAGTGAGGCTCCTTCATCTCTAATGACTGTGCTTTGTGTCAAGTTGATACAAACACAGCAAGTACAAGCCCTTAGTTAATAACCACAGACATAGGAATCTTCAACTGTGGGCATTACAGCTTAAAAACAGACATGGAGTCTGTTTTTTCCTATTCCCTGCTGATGAATTTAGAGTTTCTGTTTCTCACTTTTGAGTTTGTCGACTCTTGATGTTCTTAATAGCAGTGAACTTGTCTGTGTGAAAGTCAATAAAATTCTCTTGTGCAGTCTGCAGGGATGAGCTTTTGTGCACCTGGCTATCCCAAGTTTAAACCGAAGCCTTTTCAAAGACACCGGATGTCTGTTGCTGTTCAAACTCCCTCTTGGGATGGGAGGACTTTATTGCAAATGGATTTTCATCACCTGCATTTTCTTCCTAAATTCAATATGCAATGGACCCCCAACTCCAGCAAATGGGGACCTGGCCCTAGGCACAGAGGAATCCTGACAATTTCACCTGGCACCCTGTATGGTCACCACTAGGGGCAGAATGTGTTGCACCCGTGAAGCTCCTTCAAGGCATCCATTTCTTAAGATCACAAATAATCTATTAATGTATGAGGTATGTTTTTCAATCCCTTTTCTCCCCTTACCTTTTTTGTCAGACATGGTACAGAATCATTAATCCCAGAGCATCTGCATGCTTGTAGGTAGCAGCTAGCTCCTGAGGCTCTTTCCCCAAAACGCAGCTCTTTTCTGCAAAAACCATGGATCCTGCTGTAAGGCCTCCAGAGGAAGCAGACTTATATTTTGATAAGTTTCTGGCAAATCTCCGTCCTGAGAGAGACTGCCTGGGTTAGGTCGCGGAACGATACCAAAAATATGACCTAAAATAAAATATTTTAAAATCGATTAGATGTGTGCCTAGTGAAGATAAAATAGGTAATGGTAGTAGCTGTCACAAATGCATTCTTTTTCATCTCTTGTGACTTCAGTAGCAATTAGCCTCAGAGTTGGTCAGCCAACAAGGAATGCAAATCTCTAAGCAGTTTGAGATAGTTCTGCCTGGAAACCGGCTTACTGACCAAGCCCATAGGAAAAACAAAAAGGTCCTGCTGTGCAGCCCATAAGAAGATTTGTTACAGCACAAGCTTAAATCCAGTGCCCTGAAAGCAGGCAGGATCGACTGGGGGAGCTCCCTGTCCTTTGGGTGGGGCAAGACCACAGCAAATGAATTCACAGCCTCTGCCTCCCCTTTTCTGCTTGGTAAATTTTCAAGCCATTTTTCTCCTTACTTTTTTTTTTTTTGGCAAACACGGGGCAAAATTTTTGATTCTAGAATCTCCGTCCTCCTAGGGAAGCAACTAGCTGCTGACGCTCTTTCCCAGAAGGCAGCTCTTTGCCACGAAAGCCAAGGAAGCCGCAGTATGGCTGCCCTGGCACGCAAGCAAGCTCCGGCTTCGGTAAGCTCCTGCCGAACCTCACTTCTAAGAAAACCTCCTGGGTCAGCCAGCATCTTAAATTTTGGGGTGCTCACAGATGTTTAGGATTTTGACAGCTTGCCTAGATCCTCCCAGTGAGTGGCTTTTCAATTTAAACTAAGAGACTAGTAACCCCCACCTTCCCCTTCCCCTCCCCCTCCCCCATCCGACACAGGACCTGGTTTGAGGGACAGAGGCTACTGAAATTTTTGGAATCTTGGAAGGTTCGCACACTGTTCCCTGGGACTCAGTTCATAGAGTTGTTTGTGGTAAGCGAATGCTAAACTTGCTGAGCGGTGAATGTGTCGATTTCTCAGGCTCCTGAAACTTTGACTTAAGATTTTTAAACTGATTACATGTGAGCCTAATGAAGAAAAAAAATCGGCAATGGGTTTCCCTGCTGCAAATGCTTTTCTCTCTTATCCTTCATCTGTTGTTCATTTGGTAGGAATTAGCTCCCGAGAAGCTCAGTGTCCAATGGAGGCACATCTCCAACCACTTCGATGTAACTCTGTCAGGAAACCTGCTTGCTACCCAGGTACGTATTGTACTTTGGCTAATATTATATTTCTTAAGTTATTGCTTTCATTATTGGTGTTTCACTACGAAACAGGAAACCAAACAACAAATAGTAAATGATTTTACCTCTTCAGAAATGATTTTAAAGACAATGAAGGAGAGGTGTCTTCCAAAAAAAAAAATCTAGAGCTATTTCTAGAGCTAGACGCAACAGCATTTAGGAATGACTTCATCAAAATACGCCAGTGCATTTTCCCAGTGGCTATTTCTTTTGAAAAATCTCCTAGCAACAGTATTAGCATGGTTGATACTGAAATTCTTTTGCATTTGGGAAAGCTGTTATTTTTCTTTAAGGATTATGAAAATACATCCATTTCTTGCAATTTTCATATTGTTGTTTATCTCTAAGAAATGTAAAATTACGACACTGCCTGCCAGATGGATGGGCCTGGAAATGGGATGTTCAACTGGGGTGGTACAATCTCAAAAAAATGAATGATGAATATTCTCCCTTAACTGTTGGAACTCGTCAATCATGTGCATGAATAATGAAACAAATAAAATGCTTAGTAGCAAATAGGGAAGTCTGAATATAAGGGAGTAGGGAAAACTGAGTTAAGTGATCTACCTGAGTCCTGAAAGAGGCCTTAGAGTGAATTGTTTTTCTAGTTCTGAGTCTGTTTGATTTGGATGATGGATGTATAAAATTATTCAACAGTGAACTGTAAAATTCAATGGGATGGCTAGACGAGCTGAGATACATTGAGCCTGCTAAAATGGAGGAGTAAGTGTGGTTTATTTGCAGGGAATTTTTAAATAAATGTTATAAAATGAAGAAAATTTTCAAAGCATATGACAAGAATGGAAAGGCCAAAATAGCCAACAAGTCAATCTAGATTTGGTGTTTAACATGAATATTCTTTCTATATGAATTCAAAGGCATGAATATCTAGATCTCTAGGTCTAGTCAGGCCTCATATAAAAACATATTCAAGCAAAGAATATATCAGTAATACCCCAGCAATCGACCCCTGCCCAGGAGGCCCCACCACCTGGGCTTTTTGTTTGCTTTCTAGGTTTATGTGTTTTAGTCCTTTTGTTCTTTCTCTTTGTTGGGGGGGGGGATTCCTAGAGAAAATAGTTACACAGTTTGGTGGGTAATGAAGGTAGATGGTGGGAGGAATTTGGGGAAGGGAAAATATGAATGGGACCTTTTAAAAAGCAAGCTCAGAACAAATAGAAAATTTTCCCCGTAAAATGCTGGATTCTACTCTGTGTAGCAGGTGCCTGCAACTTGCTTTCTCTCAGAGGACAACCTTGTGATAGATCTTCATGTCCTCACCTCACAAGGGATGGGAGTGCAATCATGCCCAAACAACCTCAGCAACAGAAATGGTTCTGTATGAATTGATCAGGATCCTAATAGTGGAAAGGTTACAGCAGAGAGGAGCCAGATGTTTTTAGACATCACTTGTACCTAGTTCCCTCCACCCCTGCATCCTGAAGAGGAGGCTATTGGGTCTGTAGGAGTTAAAGATTGAAATCGTGTACTGAATGTGTCCCATGGTTGTTTTTCTGTTCTTGTATAAGGTGTAGCTGACCCCATTCACCTGTTCATTGATTGCATTGCTAGAGGAGGGGGGGACAGTGTTTGAAGGGACAGGAATATTACAGTATATCATGGGTGTGATAGGGGAACACTAGTGTCTGTGGTACACTCTGGGAGCTCTCTCATCCCAGAGTCACCAATGGACTGTGGGCAGCCAGAGAAGATGACAACCACGTTATAGGAAGAGTTCTCAACCTCTGGTCACGACACCTTAAAGGCTGCATTCAAGGTATTTGCATTAAAATTAAAAACTGCAGCAAGCTAAGTTATGAAGTAGTAACAAAATAACTGTCATTGGGCTGGGGTCACAACAAATTAGGAACTATATTGCAGGGTCACATCAGGAAGACTTAGAACTATTGACCAAGGTGTTCCAAGGTAATATGTAGGAGTGGTGGCCTTGTGTCCCTGCTTTTCGCCTGTTCAGGAAACAATCAAGGCCTGTCTTAATTAGGGTTTCTATTTGCGGCAATGAAACATTATGACCAAAGAGCAAATTGGGGAAGAAAGTGTTTAGTTGGTTTGTACTTCTACATCATTTCTGGAAAAATGGGGCAGGAACTCAAACAGGGCAGGAGTTGACTCATTGGCCATTGAGGGGTGCTGCATACTGGCTTGCATTCCCTGGCTTGCTCAGCCAGTATTTTTATATATATACCGAGAGATAATGCAGGACCTCCACCCCAAGAGTAGCAACCCCCACCCTGCTTCCTGCCCATTGACCACTAATTGAAAAACTGCTTTCCAGCTGGGTCTCATGGAGCTATTTCCTCAACTGAGGCTCCTTCATCTCTGATGAAACAAATACAGCAAGGACAAGCCCTTAGTTAATAACCCCAGACATAAGACTCTTCAACTTTTGGGCATTATTATTTGAAAAAGGATGACATGGGGTCCATTTTATTCCATTTCCTTACATTTAATTGACGTTTTCTGTTTGTCACTTTTGATTTTGTCTGCTCTTGCTGTTGTTAGTAGCAGGGAACTCGTCTGAAAGCCAATAAAGTTCTCTTGTGCAGTCTGCAGGGTTGAGCTTTTGTGCACCTGGCTATCCCACAAGTAAACTCAAGCCTTTTCAAATAGACAGGATGATCTGATGGTGTTCAAACTTCCTCTTGGGTGGGGGAGGGTACCACTGTAAGTGGGTTTTCATCACCCCCATTACCCACCTACTTTCAGTATGCATTGCTCCCCCAACCCCAGCAAATGGGAACCTTTTGTAGAGGAAAAGAGGAATCCTGACCATTTAAACTGGGAGCCTGCGGGCTTACAGTTGGGGGGTAGGTTAGTTACACTAGTGTGGAGTTTCTTCCAGGTGGCTAGTTCATTAAGAGCACAAAGAATCCATTACTGTAAGATGTTAGTTATGTCAGGTAAGTACCTCAAGCCAGTTTTCTCAATTTTTTTTTTTTTTTTTTTTTTTTTTTTTTTTTTTTGCAACATGGTAAAATGTTTTTAATCTCAGGGCGTTTGAATGCCTGTAGTTGAATGCCTGTAGGCTAGTAGCTAGCTGCAGCTGTTCTTTCCCAGGATGCAACTCATTGTGGAAAACGGATGGATCCTGCAATATGTTCCATGGCAAGCGAACTCCAGGCTCACTAAGCTCCTGCTAAATTTCCCTCCTAAGAGAGAACTCCTGGGTCAGCCAGCTTCTTGAGTGTTTAGGGCGTGCTCACTAAGGTTGTGGACAGCATGTTTAGAACTTCCTAGAGAGTGACTTTCCACTTGAAATGACTAGAAAACTTGACAAGTAATTCAATTACTTGAATTCTTAGATTCGTGTCGGGGGAGGATACCCACACTCTTTGGTGACAGAGACTCCCCCCATGAGCTTGTATGCACTGAGAGTCTCCTGAATATCCTGAGCGGGGAATGCATTCCCTGTCCTGGCTTGTTGAAAACTTTATGAATGATTAGGATCTAAAAAGGAGTGTTTTAAAATTGATTAGATATGTGCCTACTGAAGATAAAATCGGTAAGTGGTTGAAGCTGTTGAAAGTGCTAGACTGCCTTCTGTCCATTCTCTGTCACCTGTTGTGTACTCAGTAGGAATTAGCCCCAGAGAGGCTCAGCCACCAGGGGAGGCACATCCTCAAAAGCTCTAGGATAGTTTCCCTAGGACACTTGCTTACTGCCCAAGTCCCTCCGAAAACAAACAAACAAAAAAGTTATCCTGTGTACCCACTAAGGATGAGTTGTTGTGTGCCTGTATATCCAAAACTTAAATCCAGTGACGTGAAAGCAGGTAGGATTGACTAAGACAGCTTTCCTGTCCTTCGGGTGGGGCAGAGCAAAGCAAATGAATTCATAGTCCCTGCCTCCCCTTTTCAGCCTGGTAAGTTTCTCAAGCCATTTTTCTCCTTAACTGGTTTTTTGTTTGTTTGTTTGTTTGTTTGCTTTTGTTGTTTTTGTTTGTTTGTTTTGGCAAACACGAGGCAATATTTTGCTCCCAGGGTATCTCCGTGGTCATAGGCTAGCCGCTAGCTGTGGCTACACTTTCTCAGGAGGCAACTCTTTGCTGCAAAAGCAACAGAAGTTGCAGTATGGCTGGCAGTGCAAGCGAGCTCCCAGTTTGGTAAGCTCCTGTCAAACCTCACTCCTATGAAGACCTCCTGGGTCAGCCAGCATCTTGAATTTTGAGGTGCTCGCTGAGGTTTATGATCTGGACAGTTTGCCTAGAGCCTCCTAGAGAGTGGCTTTCCTCTTTAAACTAAGAGGCAAGTAACACCCACCGATCTGTCCCCCACATGCCTGTACCAGAGGTCCTGGTTTGAGAGACAGAAAGGTACCAGAATTTTTGTAACCTTGGAAGGTTCCCCCACACTCTGTTCCCGGGGACTCAGTTCATACAGTGGTTTGTGCTGAGCAAGTGGTAAATCTGTTCATTTCTCAGGCTCCTGAAACATTGACTTCAGTTTAGGACCTAAAACAAAAGATTTTTAATCTGATTAGATGTGAGCCTATTGAAGATAAAGTCGGCAGTGGGGAATGCTCTTGTATATCCTAGTCTGGATTTTCTCCATTCTCCTTCATCTGTTGTGCCTTCAGTAGAAATTAGCCCCAAAAAGGCTCAGTTTCCAAGGAATGAACATCTCCAACCACTTTGAGATAATTCTTGCATAAGCCCTGATTTCTGCCCCAGTACTTCTGATTCTGTGGCTAATGTTATTTTCCTTAAGGTACTAATTTATTCATTGGGTTTTCACTAAGGAAAAACAAACCAATCAGCAAAGATGAATAAGTATTTTTACCTCTTGAAAGACTAGTTTTAATTTACGAGGCAATTGGGAAGGGGTGTCATAGTATAACAATTTTTTCTCGAGCTAGGAATAAAATTATCTTACAAAAGGTTTTATAAAAAACATGTCCATGTGTTTATTCTGTGCCTTCTTAATTTCTTTTCATCCTAT